TCTGTCTGTCTGTCTGTCTGTCTGTGTCTCTGTCTGTCTGTCTGTGTCTGTCTGTCTGTCTGTCTGAAGTGTTTTGGTAATTGGCAGTACCTGTGGTCCATGGGGTAAGCGCTGTCAGGGAGGGGCTGTGGGGGTGCGAGGTGAGGGTACGTCCTGTCTGGTTTCGGGGTGGGGGCGGCAGTGGGAGACACATGCTGGCCAGGGGACACGGGTGTGCTGCAGGGGGTAGACACTGGGCTGGAGGCCTTCATTCCCGAGGGATGCTTCTGCTTGTAGGCACTGGAGACACCAGGGAACAAGAGCAGTTTAAGTTAGACTTTCCTGAGGGCCTTTCACGCTACTGAGATTATTATGAGACTGTGCTCGACTTTATTGCTGGAAAATTAAAAAAATGTTAAAAACATAAACGCTAAAACTTTTTGTCTGCAGCATACATTATAAAGCATGCTAAACTGGTATTTCAAAAATGGCTGGAAATGATTTTTTAAATATATTTTTATATCTTTTGAATTACATGTTTTTAAAGGGGAAAATTGATTAAAAAAATGTTAAAAAAATAATACTAATAATAAAAAAATTAAAAACGATATGTATAACAGCAGATTTTATTTATCTGTTGAACCATTGTGAAAAAAAATCATAAGACTAGAGCTATTACAATTATAATTTATACAATAATAACAACAATACAAAAATTACAATTAAAATAAATATATAATATTTACTCAAATATAATTTTAATTTATTGCTTAAAAGTTTGGGGTCAGTCAGTTAACCAAATCTGCATTTAATACAGTAAATGCAGTAATATTTTAAATTACTATTACAATTTAAAATAACTGTTTTCTATTTTAATATATTTCAAACTGTTGTTTATTCCTGTGATGCAAAGCTGAATTTTAAGCATCATTACTCCAGTCTTCAGTGTCACGTGATTCTTCAGAAATCATTCTAATATGCTGATTTGCTGCTCAAGAAACATTTTTATTACCAATGTTGAAAACAGTGCTTCTTAATATTTTAATGGAAACCATTATGCTTTTTTCAGGATTCTCTCATGGATATAACGTTAAAAAAGCAGCCTTTATTTGAAACACATCTTTTGAAACAGTATGTGTTTACTGTCATATTTGAACAATTTAATGCAATAAAATTATTAAATTACTTATATATATATATATATATAATGATGTATATACTATACATTTTGACCTCTTATGTGCAGGAATTGTTCTCATAGTTCCATAATCTAACAAAAAAATCCCACAATTCCCCACATCTATCCTTTATCCATCCAGCTCTCCACCCCTCACATGCCACAATCGACAAGGTACCAAAGAGAAACCATCTGATATCTTGTCAGATATGAACCTTAACGCAATTACACTCTATTCAGAAACATTAAAAGACAAGGAAGGAACAGGCTTCTATGGGGCTTGACAATCTCCAAAGCACCTCTGAAGAGAACATCATTATCACAGAGGTTGTTGGTTCAGCTTGAGTGCCATCTGCAATACGAGGGCAGGTTGGCTCCTCCAGCGAAATAAAACATCCAGGTGAAATGTCATAAATTTAAAATCAAATCAATAGGAAGATGACTGTAACCAAGCAACCGTGTTTGCCGTAGACGCTTGTCCAAGTGGAAAAGCCATTTATTGCACTTAATGCACCGTAGCGTAATTTCTTGTTTTTCTTTTTTTGTGTTTCCCCCTTTCCAATTTCAGGTGGTTCTCATTCAAATCATTTCGAACAGCACCTGCTGTACAGTTGCCTTTGAGTAAATAACTAAAGGAAAACTATTATTATTGTGCTTTTTTCCCCCCATAAATCTTTAAGACTATTCTTGGCTCAGGCTGAAAAGTCACATCTATGCCAAGACCCCATCTGCGTTAGGGCTGTTCTGTCAAATGAACGTCTGTGCTTTTATTCAGCCTTTAGTCACATATAAAAGGTGAAACACACCCACTGTAACATCTTAGTGTCGGAGGTGAATCTGTGCTTTATGCAAAGCCCTGAAAATTCAGCGTCACGAGCAGCGTGATTAACAAACCCAACATTTGCATTCAGAAATTAGGTTTTTAATTCAGAAATCTGTAATTAGGAAAATAACACACCCTAAATTGACAAATAATAGCTAAAAATAGTTTGTTAAACGGTAGTGTTATTGCAAATGTATGTAGACATATTCGGCCCATTTATCACTTAACTCTCTCACTCCAGATGCCGAGGCTGAATTTGCAAACCAAAATATGTGATGTTATTGTCTCTCTGACAGCTGAAAGTATAAAGTTTAGAGTTGATTTTCACTGCTTTGGTGCAAAAACACTTATGGTTTCACGCAGACGTAGCAGTCTAGCATGTCTAGCGTTCGTCTCGTTACTACCGGTATTTTCTTATAACACTTGATGCATGTAAGTTATACAATCATTTAGTGTCATATACAAGATTTGATTATTTTATGTGGGTTTCTGTGAACGCTACCTGATGTTATACAGGCACTTCTCCCCATAGTGGATTCTGAAGGGCCTCTCCTGACTGCAGGCTGAGCCCAGATCAGTACACGGACTGTGGGGCTCTCTCTTTATCCTCAACTGCAGCCCGTGGAACGCCACTGAGAAAGAGACAAACGTTTAGACGTTTAAACAGAACACCAAGATCCTCACTAGATTCATTAATCAAAGGATGCAGAAGTGTCATTTTAAACTGCAATCATTCTCACACAAGGCATCTGCAGATGAAGTTGAGAAGACTTTACAACGTGGTTTACATTTTTTTGTGCATTCACCAAAAATCATTAGATTTCTGTTTGCATGCAAAATGTTTGTGTTTTCAGCAAAGGTTTCTTGCAACTCACATAAACAAGGACAGGTGGATATGTAATAAAATAGTTTTTAAATAAATATCTGCATCAATTCAGTAACCAAATTCCATTAAAAACATCTTTAAAGCCACATTTAGTATTGTTTTTCTTCAGCACACAGGAATGAGATTCTTGACATTCAGTAATTTGAATGACAGCTGTTGTCAAGAAGTGTTACTAACGCATTTAAACATTTCTGCTTCTAAAGGTAATCTTTGAAAACATGAAAAAAGGGAATAAGAATAAAAGCATAAATAGAAAGTGCTTCATTTATTTGATGAAATTGGTGTAATCTCAAAGTTAATAATAAAAATATCAATGTCTAAAGTAAAAAACCTTCATTTATTTGAAATTTTAAATGGTCTTGTTAGGATGTGTCGTTGTTCATGATAGTGGATTCTAAAAGTAGCAGTATGGATGAATAATTTATACTTGAGAAGACTTCTTGACGGACCATATTAAGAAGCACGTAGACAGACGAAGAGATAAAAAATGCCATAATTGATTTTACGCAAAGGAATACGAGTAAACGAATCAATACAAAATCTGTTAGCATCAGAAGACGCCATACGTGCAGGATGCCATTCCAGGATTGCAACAATTACACGTTCATTGATTGGTGTTAATGGACAGCATTTTCAAGAAGTCGTTTATGACATTTACTTTCAATTTTTTGTGTCCTTGCAATTTATGAGATGCATTTAAAACTCCCTGAGCACGTCAGATGACAACTGAAGTGCACACCTCCAAAAAACAACAAAAAAACTAATTTACTAAAATAAAGAGCTATTATAAAATCAAAAGAACATCTTGAGTACAGCAAAATATTCATTTCTGAATCTTAACTTATTCACAAATTATTTCCATTATGACGTTGCTTTTGTTTTCATTCCTCAAAAAGTTTCATTTCTTTCCTTAAAGCTGCGCTCTAATAGATTTCATTTTCATAAATCAATAGTCTTTTCTCTGCCAAATGCTACCGAACAGCATTTTCACTGCTTCCTGTGTTACACAAAAGTGCATTTGGGTAAAAATCACAACTGTTTCTAAGTGTCTAATAATGTTTTTTTTTTTTTCTGTGCCGATGGTCGTGCGTTTTCTAACCCTTCTCTCTTTCTCACTCTCACCTCTTCGCTGACTGTTACTCGCTGATAATAGATTCAGTCACACCTTCTTAAACACTGGGCTTGAATTACGATGGCCTTTACAAAAGGGCAAATAACTCAAATATAATCACTGTTGGATCACACTTCCCCAGCCACAAATCACTATTATATTAATGTTTTAAACGATTTATCTTTTACAGTACCAGTTCTCTTAACAATTACAAATGCATTCAAAAGAGAAAAAATATATACACTACCATACAAAAATGTGGGGTCGGAAAATTTTTAATGCACTTAACGCTCACCAAGGCTGCATTTGCTTGATAAAAATACAGTAAAACAGTAGTATACTAACATATTTTAAAATGTAATTTATTCCTGTGATGGCAAAACGGATTTATTTGCATATTTACTGTCACTTTTGATCAATGTAATGCATCCTTGCTACCTAAAAATATTAATTCTTAAAAAAAAAGCTTTTAAATGGTAAAAGTAAACAACACATACAGTATATTACAAATCTTTAAATGATACAAATAATTTCACAAACAACCAGTTTATCAGGCCACACACGTCTAGTGCGGTGTGAGAGGTGTATTTTCTGGCTGTGTTGTCCCTGTATATCCCATTTTGAGGTGTTCTGTGGGAATGGACCACATGAAACGGAAGTGATCCATTGGCATTGTCGACTCAGACCCATATGGGAGGGCCAGGATGCCCGTTCAAGAGCCCAACCGCCATGCCCTCGCTCTACCTCCATCTGCCTGTCCCTCCTCTCATCCACTATCCTGCCGACAACGCCAACTAACACCCTGCAGTTGCATTGTTTCTGCTTAAAAATACATATTGGAATGGAATAATATATCGACACAAAAAAAGGCGTCCTTTAGTGACATTTAACTTCACTTTTGTCATGGCCTACGCTCACAATAAAGTCTAAGGAAGGGATACAGGACAATGGCCCATTATCAGCAAACACTAGTATATTTTATTTGCCTAATGAGCTTGAGTTCTCTAGAAAGACAAAGCCCTCCTTCTTCTCCCCTACATCCTCAGTAGCAGAGTCTGTTTTGGCTCCTCTTTAAGACATAAGCTGGACTCGCTCCCCACTGTGCCTCATTCAGTCCATGCCACTTCCGACACTGGCACCGGCTCTGCCACGACCACTGCGCGCCAACTTTACTTCCTATGCCCATTTAAAGGCCTATTGCTTCTGGCTGCACTCGCTGAGAAGGTACACAACCCAGAGAACACACGCCGCTCACGCTCTCTCTCTCTCTGTTTATTCACAGAAATGCCAGCGGCGAACGACAACATGTCGCAAACAAATTTTCACACAAAATCATCAAATTTGAGCTTCTTTTAGAGTCAGAAGTCACTTTGCAAAATTTTATTTTGTAGAGCAACAGTAAAATAAAAAAAGGTCACACTTACAGTTTTCACTCTGAAAGTCTGGAACAAACTGCTCATCATTGTCAGGAACTTGAGCTGGGAGAAAAAAAAGAGAGAAAAGGGTAAATAAACATTTTTCTTTCATAATTATTATAGTAGGTTTCCACAAGTCATTCTAACACAATCTCTACTCTAAAAATCACTTTAATGAGTTATTTCCTCTAATAATCCTCTGTAATTGAAACACTAATGATTTGAAATTCTCAGACCAACCCATATAGACGTTTATTGGTTTAAAACAGACAAAACATATCCTCTAATCATGTCAGTAATTGAATTTGTTGGACAAAGCAGGCTCTTGCGTGTGAAATGCATCCCATATCTGTCTCAGCCTTTCGCTTTGATGTAATTGTGTCTTAAAATAGTTTGAGAATAAAAAAAGAAAAGAAAACAAACTAGGCAACCAAAGGAAAAACACCTTGCCTTGTGATCAAATGTGCTTTACGCAGCGTCTTCATTAGGATAGCCATGCAGCGAGAAAACACCTATTGTTCACACTATCTAATTGGGACACATCCCCACTGGTGAATGCACCTGTACCTGCCGCGACGGCTGGCGTCCAAACAGAGCACGTTCCCCTACCTTTCCCTCTCTTGAAGCTAATGCTAAAATAATGAAGCCTTCATACGGAGCTCAATTAAGCACATTCATGTTTATATCACATGCATTTGCACTCTTGCAAGACTTCTGTTGTTTATTGCTTGTTCAGCTCGACTCAAAGGAGAGCACGAGACCTCGCTGCACGGGGCTATTAGCACGTTTATTCCTCTGCGCTAAAATTGGATTTTCATTTTCACAACAGTAACAAGTCGCAACACGCACAAATTGACATTCGCTTTGTGTAAGGCAACAAGTTTTGCTTGGCTACTTGGCTTTTCGGCTTTCTTTTTGGAAATGGGAGTGCTTTCTCATGTCTGTGTAAATTGTAATGCATTCATACAGTATATGAAGTCATTATGGGAGAATTTTTAACTGGAAAAACACTTGTGAATTTTTATGTGTTAAATAATATAGATAAGACTGGGCTACACTGTAAATTTAAAATGTTCTAAGTAGTAAATAAGACTTTATTGGAGAACATTTCACAATAAAATCTATTTTAGTTGCCGTTCTACTTCAAAATTTCACTACTTGCTGTTTCTATGAAATTATTTAATGGCAATTTCAAAGTAAAAACACCAAATTATTTTCAGAGCAGCAGTCATAAGGTTTTTATCTTAGTACTTTTTTAGATTTTTAAGTCAAAACTCTAATTCAGACAAGAGTCAACTACATAATGACGATATATTTTATTACTGAAAAGTTAAAATATAATATAATTTTTTAAATATATAAATGTCATGTCAGGGCAAGTTGACACGTACGCTATAAATCAATTTTGTGTGTGTGTGTGTGTGTGTTACTTTTTGCTGTTTCAAAATGTATTGTTTCATATTTATTTTATTGTTTCAAATTTGGGTAAAAAATACTTAATTGCAGGCTTTTCTGTGACAACTTACCACACAGAGGTCCACATGTATTTTATGAACTGTATTTTGTTTTATTAAGTTATGTTTCTGAGCGATAATGGTTAAAATATAAATAAATAATAAATATAAATGTGTGTGTATATATACAGAAATCATCTGTCATAAATAAACCCACACTATTCACTTGAGTAAAAAGTGTGACAACTAGCCCCAGTCTGTTCTATAACTGAACAAATCAGCACCAATTTATCTTTACGGTATTTGTCAGTGTTTTGAAAAGGCAAGTCGAGCACAACCGCAGCAGACGTCTTTACTGGTTGAACTCAACAAGAAATACCACCACCATTTCTCTGGCTGGTTCCAAAGCAAACACAATCAAAGAAATATTAACAAACCCCTCTCCAGATCAGAGGAGAATGAACAAGTGCATTAAGAGTCAGAAAGGTAGCGCAAACATCAGTTAAAGAGAGAAAAGGTGAGAGGAAGGGAGAGACTGAGCGCAGCAGCCAGTATTCTCAGCAGGGTGAATGAGTCAACCTGTGAATGGGACAGCTGATCCCAGCACCACTCCTGAGGCTAGCTAAGGTGTTGGAGCATGTCCACCAGTTAAAGAAAAAAAGAGAAGAGCAGAGAACACACAAACTGCAGCGCCAGGCCGTGAACGGCGCAAATCCAGCGCCATAAAGAGAGTTCATAATCCCCTCTCTGCCAGACAAAGAGGAAAAGATGCAGAGAAATCAGATAAAGTTCACACAAGAAAACAATGAAATCAAAAACCGACTGGTAAAGCCAATAAACTAAATATTCAGTGTAAGTTTTCTAGACGTAATAAGTGACTGTCAGCTGTCTCTGGCCAAAATGACACATGTACGTCAAATGACGAGCCATCAGCTCTTTAGTCTACGCTGCCGGAAATTCTGTCCGTCGCTCATCCGTCTTCCTCTTCTTTCCAATTACCTGAGCTAATAAATCTCTGAAATGAAACCGCTAGGTCTTCGTTTGGGTTCTAATGGACAGGAAGTCATATATTAAATCTATCTGCGATTTATCTCGAATCTTTGGGCGCTGCGGCTGATGGATGGAAGACAGGTTGAATTGTACTCCTCACTGTAACATCTACTGCAGCGACTACTTTTTTTTTCCCCCTGCCGGATACACTAAAATATTTAAGTCATGTCTAATTCTTTTAGAGGCCCTGGGGTGGATTTGGCATAATCAAACTCACGACAAGGACAGTAAAGTCCGAAATCTGTTCTAAAGCGTACTTTTAATTTTCAAATCCACAATTGTACTGCAAGCATTTTTAAATACATTAAAGAATATATGAAAGCTGTCTATTAAAAATTAAGCTTCTCTTTCCTTATGCAGGTGGGCAATGTTAGATTACTACCTTATATTTTAGATGTTTGGTTTTAAAAGCTGACCCGTACACATAACAGTGTCCTGTGGTGCAGCTGTACTAAAGCATATTTCAGTGAAGATATTTGAGATGATACTAAATAAAAAGATACTTGATTAAGTAGCATAAGTCAGACTTTCATGTGGCATTTAAAAATTCAGTCACACAAGCCAGATGTAATGCGATCACTAACAGAAAACAGACACACACTCATCTTCATTTCCTCTTTTTGTCCAAAGTGCACGCAAATGCATTCCATAGGCTGAAAGGCAGCAGGGATTTCACAAATGCAAAGCTCTGGGATCGGTTTTACAAACTGCTTTGCATGATTTTCAGCTGTCTAACTACTTTGTTTTTTCTTCCCAATTTGCAACCAAACTGCTTTTTACAATAAACAGACAAAAGGTTGTTATGTCGATCATGATTTGCGACTTATATTTTAAACTTTTTCACAGCCTAAATTAATTTATGACAATAATAAAATCCCACAAAGCTTATTTACATTCTGCTAAAAATGGAAACATGACAGTATAATTGAAGCCAACTATATATGAATATTTATACTTTTTTTTAGCAAACTAAAAAAAGTTATTTAACTCGAAAAATAAAACTGATTATCAGTTCAAATTAATTTGCATGCATCTAATCAGCTTAAGGTTTTCTAAATGTATAAATGTCCTCAACATTTTAATAATGTTAAAACCTTTCAAAATCATTCACTTTTTGCAGCCAGAAAAAAATACTTTTTAGTAATATTTGCAACGTTTCGTAACACTAAAAATCACAGTTTAAAGTAAAACTTCACACACCAAAAAAAGTCTTAACATTTTGAAGACAAGTAAAACCTTATCTTTTTAACATCAGATTTGGCAATTTACCATTTAGAAAATTTTAACATAACATTGTTAGGAATGTAAAATTGTACATTTTGAAGACAAGAAAAACATTACATTTTTAACATCAAAATGTTTGCCATTTTACCATTTTTATTACATTAAAATATTTCCAAACACATTAACAATCAACCAAAGAGTGAACCATTTACTAACCTAAAGGTCGGTGCTGCAAGCAAGGTGGGAAGAAGACACTCGCGCTTAACTCCTGAAGCATCACGTTTGAGTTAGACCACAACCAGCATGTCTTGCCATGAGAAATAAAACAATTACCAAAAACGAGCAAAATAAAAAAAAGTTTGGGGGAAAAAAACGAAGCTCTAAACGTTGAAGCCCTTGAAGCGATCTACCGTCAATCCATTTCTTTAACAAAAAGAGTTACAAAAATAAAGAAAACCCTAATATATGAGAAGTATCAGATGAGAAAGAGAGGGATACGAAAAAGAACGAGTGAGGGAGAGAAGGTGTGCGCGTGAGAGAGAGGTGGCAGTGTTGGTGGCTCGTCTGCCTTAGCTCCTGCCAAAAGCGGACGAGAGGAGAAGAGAGTGAGCGAGACTGCAAGTTCTTCTGGTAATTTGTGATGACACTCAAAGTAGAACCTCCTCGGTCTCCCCCTAGACTCCTGCTCTTCTCAAGCACTAATGTATGCATGACACACCAAGTGCCTTCGCTACAGATGCATTAATTGGACTGCAGATTAGATCTGTAACTTGAGGCATATTTGCTCCCCCCCCCACGCTCTCTCCACTTCTTCAGCTTCAAAACAAAAGCTTGATCAACCACTGAGAAACCTTGAGCGAGACTGAAGTAAACAGACCAGAGCTTACCTTCAGCGAGCCAGGTCTCCTGAAGTTGGCTGAGATCTTGAAACAGCTCTAAAAACAAAGACGGCAGAGTTTGAGATGGCGAAACAACAGGTACAAAGCTTTAATTATGAGTTTTGACCCTCAGCGCCTCTCGATTTCAGTCTCAAAGCCCTCTGAAGACCGAGGCGAGCGCAGCTGATTGAGATTTTAAAGCCCCGAGTGCAGGTGGCAACGAGCGATATTGCATTTTGCGAGATGTTAAGAAGGCGTGAAATGAACATTGTCTTTTTCACCCACACCTGAGTGCTTACCCTCGGTGTTCAACGCCAGGTCAGAGTTAATGAATTTTCTTTTCCTGTCCTTCGCTGGTCTCGTCTTGGACGTCTTTCCCTGAGGATTCTAAGCAGAAAGCAACAGATCAATTGTCTCAAATGAAGATGGAGTGTGTAGAGTTTGCTTTTGAAAGACATGCAACACACAACTGCAGCTTCACTCATCATGCTTACTGCTAATATATGAGAGATTCTTTAGTTAGTGGCACTTTTGACTTGTTTGAAATCTTTAAAAATGAAATATAAAACTGTGTTTTTTGTTAGATGATCATGGCCTTGATCAACCCTCAAGTGGAGTTTTGATGGATTTTTTTTTTTTAGGAAAATGTTGAACAAGTCTTGTTCTTATTATACTAACCCAACATTGAAGAAGAAAGTTGACAAATTTTTTTTTAATTTGAAAAAGTCTCAAAAACTGAGCTGTTTGGTAATGATACCTAGTTTTAAAAGTTCTAAATATATATATATATATATATTTTTTTTTTAATCTTCACTTCTCATTACCATCATAACGCAATTTTTTTGGACAATTATTTTGTAAAATGCATTTGTGACTGTAATAAAAGTGTAATACTTTATTTAAAAAAATGTAAACTGCAGAACCGAAAATATGATTTTCTTAGGGAAAAAGTGAAAAATAGAATTTCCCTTATTTTAACACAATTTAAATGTATTATATAGAGGACGTTATAAAGTCCAAAATATAGCAATTCTGGTATATAACTAGTTTAATACACAATAACAGGATTCACAGCTATTATAATGAATACTTTAAAACTGTCAATGATTATTAATGTCTTCGAAATCAGTCCAGAAGTTTCCCTAAAGTGAAGAATCACACACACACACACACACACACATGACAGACCTGCCACGTTACGGTTTAAAAAACGCAGATTCTCCTCATCGGTCACTTGTATGACAGATACATATTTACAATCATGGAGAGCACTGATTTACCTTCATCAGACTTACATGAGATTTTATGAAAGGCACTTGTTGGTCGTAAAGTCCGTCCATTCTCTGAGCGCGCCGTCCGATCACCCTTTGAAGTAGGAGACTGACTTTAAGCGATTTATTGGAGATGGAACATGAACTGCTGCGCGCTCGAGCGCATTCAGCGGCTCCATTCATAAACATATCTTTCATTTGACCGACTACATGCTGACTATTATGAAACAGACATTAAATGCAGCAGATCCGTGACACTTTATAGATAAAGTTGCAAGTGTCCTAATGTAAATATGTTGCGGTGCTGTGCGTGCGTAACGCGGTGAGCCGATCCTCCGAAGGGACTGGACTTTTGGAAACTCTTTTTTTTTCTGTTTCTAGTTACGTTTTACTGAAGCGTCGAAGGTGATGTAGAACTTAAAGCTTGCACTCACCCCAGTAAACGCACCGCATTCATTCATGGATGTGTCGCCGGACTGAATGAGAAAAGCGCTCTCGTGTCTCTCCTCCGCGCTCAAGTCAACACACACTGGCTGCATGCTGCTCCAGGGGCCTCCCTTCAGAAACAGCCGGCGCCCCGCTTCCTATTGGCTGCCACTGTCCTCCGCCGGATCAGATTTCCACCCGTCAATCAAGAGCCTATTTCACCGTTCCTTCATTAAAATATGCAAAACTGATATTGCAATTATAAGGTGTTTATTTATGAAAAACACAGCACGTCCTTATAATTTCTCTTGTGGCTAGATGTTTTGGAAATGATGCGCATAAAAATGCACACAATCTTTGGATGCTGTTTATAAGGCTTACAAATTACCTAACAGCTTTTGGCAAGCTGAAAAAGCTTCCAAACTTTCAAAGAATGAAATAAACAGGCATATGCTCAGAATGGCCACAGCAATATTTTCCAAAAGGATTTGTTATGCGTAAATCTTAGACAATTTAATGCAGTGGTTCTCAACCTGGGGGCCATGGTCCCCTAGAGGGCCTCAGCAAACTTCCAAGGGGGCTCTGAAATGATGGGTTGAAATAAGGGAAAAAGCTGAGACAGAAGACGAGCACAGATGAGTGGTCAGTTATACAGTGTTGCCATGAGTCAATATTCCAAAATACTTGACCAATCAAAATACATTTATTCCAAATAGCTGTGTGATGAGTTATACATACTGTAAAAAATATGTTAACAAATAAAATATAAATAAAAATATTATTAAAATGATTCAATTTTTTTTAAATGGAGAGTTTTTTACTTGTTCTTTCTTTGTAATGGTTTGTGAAATTTACAAGTAATTTGAAAATAGTTTCTAGACTTTTTATATATATAAATAAATATAGTAGGTTACAACATGCTCTCACAGTTTTTATTTTTTTTGTATGCAGTTAACAGATTTTTCCATTTTCATTTTTCATTACCATAGGTTTCGTTGCTGTAACCTTGTTTTAATTTTAATTAAATGAATAGACAAATATAAACAAAGATGTTCATTCTCAATAATAATAATAGCAAGAAAGAACGACAAAAAAGATCACTTAGACTGGTATTTTAATGTGATTTAATCTAAATGAGTCTTTGTGGATGACTATTTGAATATATATTATTTGAATATTTGTGCTAACTATATAGGGTGAGGAGGATATTTTCCCCCCATAACACCTATGATTATAGATATGCTTTCACACCTTATCTGACCTTTGAGATAAAGTTCATTATATCCATTTACATGCAACATATTTAACACATGCTAAAAGTGTCGGTCCGGTGTTTCCTCGTGTCAAAGCTCTAATCACGTCATTACGAAACATCTAACGTCACTTTTGCAGGATCAGGTAAACCAGCACATAAACAGAGGAACTTCCATTATAGGGAACTGATGGAAACCTGAAGTGACATTTTAAGTCATTCTTGACGCAATGTATAATCCCGTGAGCTTTACGGAATGCAGGACAGGTATAGATGTTCATTTGACAGGTTAACATTAAAAGGTTACAACCCTAGCGATGCATTTGATGTCAGGTCAAGAGGTGAGCTTATGGTCGTATATGTATGTTTCCTTATGTGCATGGTTTGACTTGTATGTACCCCTAAGTCTATATGAAATAAAAATTTAGAGTGCAAGTCTAAAAGGGACAAGTGTTTTTTTTAAAGAATAGAATTAGAATAGAGAGTGCTAGTGTTAGAGGGTCAAATAAAGGTGGAAGAGATGTGTTTTTAGCCGATTCTTGAAGATGGCTAAGGACTCAGCTGCTCGGATTGAGTTGGGCAGGTCATTCCACCAGGAGGGAACATTTAATTTAAAAATATGATATTTATATTATATATTATATGATATAAAACTCTCAATTTACCAAAATGGGCCTTGAATATCCTTGGTATAAATGGTCTATGAATTATGACATCTGTTTTAACTTTTAACTGCTAAAAATGGCATACGTCATATCTCGATCCAACATGCAAATACATCAGGCAAGTTCATTGTCAGTTCATTGCACAAAGCACCTATTATGAACTGCGGGCTCTGTGGGGGTGAGTGAAACTAAACCAGGCCTAACCAGAAACTTAAGTTACCAGGATGTGTAATAGTGTCTCACATCATTACATGCTGCTACTATCGCAAGAAAAGGAAAGGTGCAGTCGCACATTTGCTTTAGCTCTGGCAGAAGTGCATCACAACACATGAATATGCATGAGCAAAGCACCTTGTGACCATGACAACCATGTCTTGTAAAGACAAAATACAACAAAATACAAGTCTTTCAATCTGATTCTTCTCCAACAAGCAAGCAGCTTCGGCTTAAAATAAAACACAGACAGGCATTAGCATTAAAAAGCCTAAACACTGCGCATCGACTACTAACTCTGGACGAGGATTGTCTAACAATAACCTAAAACCTCCATTTGTGCTTGCAATATAAAGATTGTTTGTCCACATGTTCATGCTTCTGGAAATGATTCTCTTCAATGTTTAGTTGAATCTTGTAACTTGACCATGTTTAGCGCTTTGGAAAGTAGTAGTGATTTAGAAAACCAGTTAAAAAAAAATTTTTTTTATCCAAGTGAATTTTTAAAATGCAACTTCCAAAACAATCAATGTATTTATACTTAAAAAAAAAAAAAAAGAATCAAGTTGCATGATTAATGTAGGAACATGCTGTCGTAGAAATCACCCATGGACATCAAAATTAGGTAAGTCCACTTTTTTTGTTTCTATAGAAAAAAGACTGGCTGTCAGTTTTAGATGCAAAATAAAATAAAATACAATTTTACAAAGTTCTGGACGACTGGCTGACAATTTCAGATGCAAAATAAAATAAAATAAAATAAAATTTTACAAAGTTCTAGATTTGAACCCAGCATGCTAAAGAATATGAAAAATGTCCCACTAGACTAACACATCACACGTTATAAGTTAAAAAGTACTTTGTTTTTCATTTGGCCATGTCTTATCTCACATTTGGCACCAAGAAATCCATCACTTCTTAAATAACATACCCAAAATAAAATAGTTCCTGTTCACGAGTCCATCTCAATCTACATATAAGACTCAAACTCTAAAAGACTTCAGATTTGAAGTGTTTTTGCAGTGCCTATTATCCTCAAATCTCTCTGATTCCAATTCCAGTTGTGCCAAAACATACCTTTTTAAACATCTGAGAACAAAAAAATGCCCCAAGTTTGGCCTTTTCCTCCCAGTGCTTGGCTTGTACTGCATAATGGCAGTTGAATCAAATAGCTGAGACGGCAAACTGGTAGAGATATGTAGCCTAACCGCAGCTGTCAGGAACCTGCACAATGGTTTTCACCATTCACATGAACTCTACAGCAGGTGTGGCGTTGATCTCAGGTGTCGTGGCTTTCAGTCTTTACTCTCTCTGCGGTCACGTCGAAAGAAGGAGAAGAAGCTAGAGCTTTGAGGAGGACCCATCAGCATACGGGCCTGATTCTCAATCATGATTTGAATCTGTCGGAAAGATTGAAAACAAATATGATGTGAAAATGTTTACGTTATATGATATAAATTCATAAAGACAATCGGATGAGAGAAGATATGACAGATAAATGTTATATGAACTGGCATAATACACAAACAGAGGCACGTAACTTGCCAAAGAGTCTCTCCAAGACAAAAACAGGCAGTGAACTAATGGACTAGAATGTGAAGTGAAAGTGTCATTAAAATCTTGTTTATTAACTTTGTTCCTGTCACATTTAATTGGGTGCTGAATTCCCTATTTGTGGGTCAATTATAATTCCACATCAAAGCTGATGGTAAATATCAAGCTCTTCTCTTTGAATTCACCCATTTGCTTTGTTCATGAAAGTATTCAGAAGGTAAATGGTACTGAACACCTCAAAAAGCATTTAAGTTTAATTAAGAGGAAGAGTCAACATGACATTTTTTTTTTACATATGGGGTGAAATCGAGAGTGTTCATATATAATGCAAATTTATTGGAATCATGCCCTTTTTAGTGTCTCTCTAAGATAAAATTAGGTGCTTATTTGTATGAATAATAAACTTGACGATTCTCTGTGGAATAAAATGAAACTTTATTGCTAAATAATTCAATGCGAAATTAAAAAAGAAAAAGATTTTTTGGAATATTATCATTTGTTTTTTTTTCAACAATTTTATTTAGGAAAAAACTGTATTTAGTGATATTATTTGGTAAATAAATGGTTTTAGAAAAAAAGCAATTTTTTCATTTATTTCCACATTGATTGCATGAAATATATAACAAACAAATGCAATGCCATTCATTTACACACAAACCCTCAACAAGCAAACACAGATACAATGCAGCGCCCCCTAAAATTTAATTAGCATAATCACTTTTGCTGAGGATAAGCTGGAACACCTGAATATTGACTGTAGTGTCTCAAAAGCATTCCTTACATTTACTGACACTAATTAAGCCTCAAGGAAGCCATAGGTTGCCATGGAGATCACCTGCTATGATAACAGTTTTGTTGGTGTCTACCTTTAACCAGAGTTTTAATCTACAGGTACAAGTGCTCCTTCCAATTAATTGTGTTGTCATGCTTTTTGGATTCCAGGCATCGACAAAATGAAGTATATGTAAATGAACACTGCACTTCAGAAAAGATGCTTTCAGAGAAGGGAAACTTTAATTAAAAGCAAACAAAGCTTCGAATCTTGCAAATGAGGTGGTTGTTTCGGGCTGGAGCATATTTTCAGCTTTCTTGTAAAACGCTGCTGTGATTTTTACACAAGATATCAGGAGAATCTAAGACTGACCAACTAAAGCCGGTTTAGAAGGAAACGCAAAGTGAGAAAAATGCTCTTAAAATATTGCTACGCTTTAACATTCATAAAAAGATTAACACATGCAATATAACGGACATTTAAGCATATAAAAATATTAAATGTGCATGCCATACTTACAGTGCATGGGCTCTGCATCCATGGCTCACCATCTATTTGCATAGGAAGGGCTTTACTGGTTCTGTCAATGGAACATAGTTATATAATACTGAAACATGAACCATTTTGTTTATATACAGTGCAGTATATCTGTAAACATCAAGATATTAAGTTTAAAAAAATTGTTTTTCTGCACCATTTTTAATATTTTCCTATCATAAGTCTTACAATGTGGCAAATTAACTTTGGATGTAGTCAAAATACTGTATAAATATTCTATGTAGTCTCTAAATATAATACACTACTATTCAAAAGTTTGGAGTTGGTACAATATTTAATGTTTTTGAAAGAAGTCTCTTATGCTCACCAAGGCTGTATTTATTTGATAAAAGTAAAAACAGTAATATTGGGAACTATTGTTACAATTTAAAACTTACTAACCCTAAACTTTAAAAAACAGTAGCATATCATTAATATTATCAAAAATCTGCCTTAATTGTAATTGTATTATCTTAATAATAAAAGAACTAGCAAAATACAGCTTAAACTCATTGTAGAAAAAGTCAAGCATAATATACTGTAAAGCGTTCTACTATAGAAATAATGTTCCCCAAATGCACTACTTCATTGGACAAGTAAACATTTCTAAATTCAGTATATTAGGAACACCACACTGGAGGATGGGGTTGATTTGTAATTACAATGAAATGTAACCTGATAATGATGGAGGAACACTGGGCCAGACGTCTGCCTGCGCTCTTCAGACCTGTGTAGATCTGGCCCATTTCCATTGCCCCCTCCAGCCCCACCACCTCCAACAGCTGATCAGATGGGTCTAAGAGACAGAAAGAAAACTAGTGACAGACAGAAAAGAAATAGAAAAACTAATGAGGTCAGCCTGATCTAAAAATGAGCAAAAATCCATCAAATAATGAAAAAGACTAGTTGCACTTGAGCAGACCTTCATCAAAGAAAATTCTGTTCCTAACAGACATTTTCATTCACATCAAATTAAATATAAAGTCTAGTCTGGTTAAAGTCTCTGAATTTACAATGACCTGCCAGTTACTCTAGATCCAGACAATTAATCTTGAGTCAGTCTGCCTGGTTCTATCTGGATGTGCCATAAACAAATACTCTTCCTTTAAATAATTAATTTTATAGTAAATCCCATTGTGTCCTGTATGATAAATTGCTTGTGATTTTTCGCATTTCTAATAAGTTTTGCAAAAAACATCTGCTAAATGATAAAATGTAAATATGTAACACATGCAGGATATGTGCCAATACCTAAAGTGAATTATTAAGCATTATCATTAACGTACATGAGATACACAAACCAAAGAGCCCATACAGACAGTCCTCTCCCTCCAAAGCACAAAACCAATATCAATATCCCTGTCAAAATGTGTTAGCCTGTTAAACCATCCGCTTTCTACCAAACGCTCGAGCCTGACCCGTGGGGGACATCAGGGAGAAAAGATTATGAGGAGAAAGACCAAAAGAGAAGATGAGGAGCAGACAGTGGAGGTGTGTTTGGGCGGAAGGGGGGGAACGTGTGAGAAGGAGAGAAAAAAAAAAGCAGACAAGCTTGATTTGGAATCTTCACAGTCTGCCTTCCGCTCTAAAAAAGCATAAATTGTCACTGTTGGAGAAAAGGAGGGGAGAAAAAAAACACCAACAACCCACAAACAAAACACCTATTAATTAGAATGCGACACTGATGCAAAGCAATCTTGTGTTCCTCCATATTTATTAATTTCTTTTTTGTTTTGAAGTTATGAGCATTGATTTTTCCTCGGTCGGAGGTCCAGTGTCGCGCTGGGACCATCTGTTCAGTAACAGCTCCTATGAGTCTTCCTCTCCTCCTCAAACACACACACACACACGGTGTCATTCAGTCCACATACAGTCAAACCACACAAATAAACAGAAGTGAGTGCTGACAAAGCTCTGACCGCTAGCGCAAGGTCCAGTCAGGTCTGTTGCACTCTAATCATTTCTATTCACGTTTTAGCCACTTTTGAAATCTTAGTGAGATGGAAAAAGAGATGGAATGTGATAAGGAAATGTTGCGAGCTAATTGCGAGCCAAGAACTCTTGCCACTAACACAAGCACTATGGCTTAATGTGCATATGTATCATGTATCTTACATCTACTCCTATTCTATTCAATTATATTCTATTCTGCTCCTTACATTTACTAAATTGTATATTATTGTTCTATTCTAATCCTATATTCTAATGCTAATATTTAATACATCTTATTTTATTCTATTCCTTACATTTATTCTATTCTATTTCTATTATTTTTATATCTTATTCTATTCCTTGCATTTGTTCTATTCTATACCTTGCACTCATTCCATTCTATTCTATAGCTTGCATATTTTATAACAATTTATTTCTTACATCTAACCTATTTTCTCACATTTATTTAACACTGGATTACGCATTTTTTATCTTTTTCTATTTCTTAATTTTTTTTTTTCTATTCTGTATCTTATATTTAGTATATTCTGTATCATCCTACATATTTTATATATTTCTTACATTTATTCTATTCTATATCATACATTCATTAGTCTATTCTTTACCATATCTTTCATATTTTTCATAATTTATTTTCATATTTTATTCTATTTTTAACATTTACTCTAGTTTGTATCTTACAATTATTTCATTCTATTCCATAGCTTACATATTTTTTTTTATCTTAATCTGTTCCTTAGATTTATTCTATTGCCTCACATTAATTCCATTCTTTAGCTTGCATATTTTAAATCATATTCTATTTCTTACATCTAATCTTTTTTACATTCAATTATATAGCTCACAAATTTTATATCTCATTCTATTCCTTACATTTATCCTATTCTCTTACATTTTATTCCATTCAGTTCTAAAGCCTACGTATTTTATATCTCATTTATTATTTATTTAAATGTAAGTTCTATTTCCTTAAATGATCTTGTTCTATCTATTCCTTAGATTTATTCTATTCTGTATCTCACATTTTTATTTTATTCTATTCTATTCTACCTTACATACATTTTTTTTCGTACTTTTTTCTGTTATATTCTGTATAAATTCAATTTAGATCCCCTGCGGGTGCTAGGTAGTGCTTGGAGTCATAACTGTTACTATAAAATGTATTTTTTGCATGGCTCTAACAATGTTGACCAATCAGAAGCAAGGATCAGAAAGTCCATTCACATATTCAAGTTAAATGTCATTTGTGTGGAAAAAGTCATTCCACATGTACCTAAGGGCAATGCAGGAATATATTTCTTAAAAATGTAAACACAACAAAACAGAGTTGGTTACAGTTGTCTGGTAACCACAGTTAACGGGGTAACACAAACTCTTGGATTGTTGTACCAACGCTGTGTTCAACTGTTGTCAAGGAGACAGGCTGCAAACGAGGCCTTGCTGGGATTCGAAAAAGTGTGAGAAGTAAGAACTGTGTGCATTGAGTGTGTGTGTGTGTGTGTGTGTTTGTGTACACAGTCCTTTGACCACAGTGGCTCTGCTCTCTAAAAGGGTCAGGCTTGCAAGACTGGTGAGGCTGAGAGCTCACACAGAGGTCTGTCATCAGCGATGGACAGTATCAGAGAGAGTCTGAGGGGATTTCTAAACACACTCGTTACCTACAGCTTCACATGCTCTGGATGGGAGCTGTCATCTGTTTCAAATTGGAATTTAAAAGAGAGTCTTAATGAAACGCTAATTACAAGAAATTAAGTCAACACCAATGGGTAGCCTTCCCTTTCATTCCAGTTGATGTTCGGCTAGCATATGCTGCCCCAGAGTTGCATCCAAAATCATATACTTCTACAGTATATAGTATGCGAAAAAACAGTATGCCAAAACAGTAGGCGAAAAGTACCCAGATGACCTACTACTTCTGCCGAGATTCTTAAGTGCGTATTCGATGGACACTTTACTATCCCATGAGGCCAAGGGAGAGAATTTCTGAATGGCAGTGAAGCGGCACAACTGACGCTGGTAGGTCACATGACAGTAACAACATGCCGGATATAGTATGTCGGAATTTCATTCATACTATCCAGATTCATACTATATAGAACATATTTTTTTATCAGTTGCGAAGTTTAAATTCAAATGTAGTACCTACTCAGACAGTATGCGCTTTTGGACAAACAGCTGGTGAAACATCTACTAGCCAACAAAAAATTAGGCTCTAATTGTATTCTAATAAAAAAGTACAATTTCAATCAAATTAAATTAAATAATAAAAAATGTTAAGTAAATCATAAAAAAATTAGCAACATTTAAATAAAATTGAATTAAAAAAAAAATACACATTTAAATAAATTAAAACTTATATTTATCTAAAATAATATTAATACAAATACATTTACATGGCTTTGTCAGAGAAGAAAGATCCTTTTGTGCACATAAAGGTGAAGTTACAAAATATACCAGCAGAGGTTAACTGGTCAAACCTTAACCCCTTGATTCTAAAAATATTAAAAAAAATAAAGAGTGAAATCTACTAAAATCACCAAACATAATTTCAGAAATAATTATGCTTTCAAAGATGTTTTCCTGAAGACTCCAATCAAACTGCTTTAAAACAAATAGCCTCACCCCAAGCTGACACGATTGGATGATGTCCACTGCTTAAGCACACAGATATTTGTTAAACTTTTTTGAAAAATGTTTAAATTTTTTTTAACCTCCACATCCATTCCTAAAAGTCTCTGCATGTAAAGCTCGGATAAGAGAGTGAAATCTACTAAAATCACCAAACATAATTTCAGAAATAATTATGCTTTCAAAGATGTTTTCCTGAAGACTCCAATCAAACTGCTTTAAAACAAATAGCCTCACCCCAAGCTGACACGATTGGATGATGTCCACTGCTTAAGCACACAGATATTTATTAAACTTTTTTGAAAAATGTTTAAATTTTTTTTAACCTCCACATCCATTCCTAAAAGTCTCTGCATGTAAAGCTCGGATAAGAAAAAAAAAAGATTTTAACACCAAAATGTCAAATCACCTTCACTTTTGAACACAAACCTCTCTTTCTTTTGCACATGCACACACATACACAAGCCATATGCACCTGATAATGGTGTTTTCTTGTCACCTGTTTTTTTTTTTTCTTTGTGATTGAACAGCCTGTGTTGCTCATGACGCACATGGAGCGACAGGCGTAGGCAGGGCTGAGGTGCGCGGGAGGGAGTTTGAGGGGCTTTCGCACAGTGTGTCAGGGGACATCAGTAGTCCCAGTGCAGCCCACGTCCATGCTGAATAATTCAGCCCGCCTCCATTCCCTTCCACCTGAGGAGGCCTGTCTCCTAGCGTCACCAGCGGGGCCACTCAACTGCTCCCGAAAGGTCAGACTCTACCCCATCTGAGAGCTGGGCCTTGGGGGCTAATGTACTCCCTGTTTACCATCCAGCTAATGCTCCCTCGACTAATCTGACAAGCACAGGCCTCTCACCTTCAGAGCTCCTTCAGATGAAGCCGTATCTACGAAGGCTTTCAAAACCATCGGCGAGGTGCCCAGGCTAAGTGCCTTCTCTGGTCCAAACCTGGGCTCGTGGGTGCCTTCGCACCAATCAATTGATCTTTTTTCCAGAGTAAATGGAATAGAATGGAGCGTAAAGGGTTTTGTCCTCTTGCTCTCTTTTTTTGGAAGCCGATTTTATTCACCAAGCGCTCCGTTTCTACTGAGAGGCGATGCAGAGATGCAGCGGTAGGCTATTAGAGCAAACATGCATGATACAAATGGGTGCATTTATCAGCAGCTGACTTGTATTGACTGAAATTAAAGAGTGCAGGGGACTGGATGAACTGTAAATTCTAACGACACCTGAGATAATGGATTGGTACTTGGGGTTTAACTGAGGTGGACAGATTAAAGAGTTTAATGAATGAGATACTATGGAATTATGGCGTGTAAATGTACGGATATTGATATACTGTACAAAACATGAATAAGTATACTAATACTAGAGGTTATATTTCATTTTCACCCATATTGACTGGAAAGAAAGCAGCTGGACCAGGCAAGTAAACTCTTTAAACAAGAAAGTCTAACTGACAATCTCTTTCAAATGGGTGATTTCTCATCAGGGAACCTCGAATACTGTGATTGTAAGACTCGAACAGGCTCTGACGTTTCACCCGTCATTCTGCTCTTTGTGATCCCAAACGGTCCCATGATAACGGCCCAAAGAGATTCTGTAAAACTACAATCAATGCTCTCAAAGCAGCACGATACATGGATTTTCCCCAACGTGGTGACAACCGGCGTACACATTTCTAGATTAGTGAACGGCGTTTTGCCTTGATGATTCTCCGTGGAGGGGACATCTAAGTGTTTATCTCAACAACAACAAGTCTTTACTGTTTTTTTGCACTTTGACAGGATTTGGGTTAATGTCATTTGGCAGGGAACTACATGTAAGGGTTTATGCGTGTTTGGTATCTCACTTGTATCAGCAGCGCAGCATTTGCTCTTCTTGCATAAAGATCATTTTTATTAGGGTTCATCACAACAATCTCTAGGCCAAATTGCTGCTTATTCTGGCCAAAATGTAACTATTCTATGAGATGTATGAATTTGTATGCTTTTTCCCCCATAAGAACACTGAAGTCTATTACGCAGATTGTAAAAACTATACAAATTGTTAGAATTCAAAGCAAAAATTCACCAAAATGTAAAATGGCTATGAATTGTGTTGATCTGACTGGTGTGTAAAGTGATGAACAACAGTTTGATTTGTTTTTACAGTACGTGCCATTTAGAGGTGGGTTTATGAAGAGTATATTATGTGATAAAACATTGTGTTATAAATATTGTATTGATCAAACATATAATAGTGCGGCAAATTTTTCAAACTCTAGAAGTCAGTTTCCACCTCATAGACTAAATCTAGCAATGCAACTTCATACTGTATCTCACATTATGACTTTATTTTTCACAATGTGACTTTTTATCTAATATGGATCTTTAAATCTCCCAAATGAGATTTTATATTTCACAAATGGGACTTTGTACAGCATATTATGACTTACAATGTGATTCTATACATCACAATTTTGACTTTATATCTCATATCTCATGTTATGGCTTTATACAGTATCTCACATCATGACGTTGCATCTCACATACTTTTGCCTCTCACAAACTATATGTGTTACTTAGAGACAGGCTTTATTAGCAAACAGAAGTACGGAGTTATTTCTGTGCTATTCTGACTATCTCACAAACATACCTTAAAGCCAGTTACACAGTTTATCTAGTTAAATTGCTACTAAGTGCCTGAAAAAATTTGGAATATCTTTCAAATATGTGATATCATAATAATCTGGCAAATTCAGTGATTAGTTTTGTGTGCAATGAGCATTAAACAGTCAGTGAACAGACTGTGGGCGGTAAGTCAGAGACTACAAAGCACCAAAGATTCACAACTTTGTTTGAAAATTGTGTAAATTTTGTGTTATAAAAAAAAAGCAGGAATTTGCATGACTGATTTATGTCGGTCATTTCAGTACCCTTGAGCACAGCTAGTGGCAGCAGCAGATGTATGTGACAGTAAGCCTGCTGCTTTAGAAAGTTATTGAAACCCCAATCAGCCTGTTTTACCATGGTACAGTTGAGCCTGCTTTGATTGGACAGGTATGTCCACCAACGCTAGCATAAGCCATTACAGAGCCACTGACAATCCCAAACACTGGCATTAAAACTGCATCCCTTCAACCCAAACAAAAGCCACTCGCCATGATTCAATGTGTCACTGGTGAAATATTCATCATGAAAGAAAAGTTCCTCTGAAGTTGCCTTTGATTAATCAGGTATGAAGACAAGGACTTTGCAAACCAGTGACGTTAAGGTGACCCTTAAAGAAATGTTCCAAGTTCAGTACAAGTTAAGCTATATTGACAGCATTTATGGCATAATGTTGATTACCACAGAAAATATGTTTGACTAGACCCCCAGTAAATAATAAATAAAAATGTTTTATGAAAGCATAAACAAATGTAAATGTAAATTAATGATAAAAAATATATATATATATTAAAGTAAACAAATAAATCGATCAAAATATTTTTGATACGTAAAGAGTATGTGTTTGTATACCTTGGATAGCAAAAACGAGTTGTTTGGGGTCAACAGTTGGGGTCTTCTTTTCCGGAGACTTCTTCCCTGTTCGACGGTGACCCCTCCGTTTCTTGCTCTCTCCCCAAAGGTTGGAACCGCCGTGCATGCTGGGAATATTCAGGATGGCAATGCCCTCCAACGAGATGTTGCTGAGGTTTAGGGTGACACCATCACACTATAAAACACGAGAAAGGTAAAATTACAATTATTATACAATGAGTGAACAAATAAATGACTTGATCGATCAGTCAATCAATAATGAATAAATCTATCACTGTTGCATTAGCACTAACAAACTAAAAATAATGTGCTTTCTGTTATGTGGGCCTTTCTGAAAATCATCAGTATTGTGTGTGAATACAACAAAATCTTGAAAGACATTTTGTCAAAATGTACTTTTTTGCATTAAAATAATATACTACAGTTCTTTCCAGTGGTTCAGCAGGGAGTGTTTAAGTGTTAGAAAGGTGACAAGGCATGTGGTTTCTCACTTATTCTCATTACCTCCACCTCAAGATAATCATGCAGCTTCTTGCAAGTTGCCGAGAAGGTCTCTGAGGTTCCAAACTCAAAGTACCAAAGCTTATTCTTCGCCCTGAAACCAACAAGTTGTGTCAGTTTTTTATGCATAATGTATAATTTACAGAACATGCAATTATTAATTATTATGGTGAAGCATGGTCTTGAATATCCGCAGTGGGTAACTAGGATGCAGAATATACGGATACCATAATGGTTATCAGTCAATATATTTTATTGTGCATGAATTTTTTAAAAACATTTAGACTATGATTCAGATACTGATATGGCCAAAAAGTAAGATGAAATTCTTATAGCTTCAAATGTAAATCGATGAGATCTTTATGACTGTATAACAGATTACCTACAAAATAAATATCAGTTGCCATCACTCTGTATTTGTCAAACAAACAATCTTGGTGAGATTGTATCTAAATGCTTAATTTTTTAATCAAAGCTGCAGTTTTTATAGTGGAGGCAAAAATATAATGCAATGCAATACAATGACGATTCAGAGATTAAGAAATTAATGTTCTTTAAAAGGTAATATCACAAAATGATGTATGGATAATTAAATATACCCAAGTAGTTTCAATCCAGTACATGTTCATTTTGAAATACTACAAATAATGTCCAGAATTTGAATATTAGTGCATGGTAAGGTTCAAAATCAAAATGCTTTAGAGTAATGCATAACCTAAAGTAATCCACAAAGACTGTCGGGTCCTCATCTTGGCATGAAAATGACCGATATCCAGGATGACTGAAAAACTGAAGCACATGGCGCAAACCCCTACCATTACAGAGACCAGCTAGGGTTCAGAGAGGGTAATCTAGCTGCCCCTTCAATTAAGAGTGGACTGTGGAGCCGGACCCCTGTCCCCCACCCCACAACGAAGTCTCTCTGGGACCAGGATCATGATCAGTGACCTCACCAGAACAAACCACCATCTGCTTTCATTACCAGCAGACACACACACCTGAACCTTCTACAGCAGGGACCAAACAGCAAGGATTTTGAGATTTAGAGAATTACACAATACAAAGCAGAAAAAAGGGATCTGGTTAAATGAAAAAATAAAGGAGAAGAAGGACTCGATAATTGGCATGAAAACAATAAAAAGGCTTAAAGGAATAGTTCATATAAAATGAAAATGTGCTTAAAATGTATAACCCTCAGGCCATCCAAGATGTAGATGAGTTTGTTCCTTGTGGAGAAATTTAGCATAACATCACTTGCTCTGCAGTGAATGGGTGTCGTCAGGATGAGAGTCCGAACAGCTGATAAAACCATTACAGTTATCCACAAGTAATCCACATGACTCCAGTCCATCAACTAATGTCTTGTGAAGTGAAAAACTGTGTTTATAACTTAAAACTTTTTTTCCCCCCGAGTTGGCATGAAAACAATAAAAAGGCTTAAAGGAATAGTTCATATAAAATGAAAATGTGCTTAAAATGTATAACCCTCAGGCCATCCAAGATGTAGATGAGTTTGTTCCTTGTGGAGAAATTTAGCATAACATCACTTGCTCTGCAGTGAATGGGTGTCGTCAGGATGAGAGTCCAAACAGCTGATAAAACCATTACAGTTATCCACAAGTAATCCACATGACTCCAGTCCATCAACTAATGTCTTGTGAAGTGAAAAACTGTGTTTATAACTTAAAACTTAATAACTTAAACCTCTATCCATAATATTGCTTTCTACAGCTGATAAAACCATTACAGTTATCCACAAGTAATCCACATGACTCCAGTCCATCAACTAATGTCTTGTGAAGTGAAAAACTGTGTTTATAACTTAAAACTTTTTTTCCCCCCGAGTCCTCTATCCATAATATTGCTTTCTCCAGTGGTAAAGCCATCTCGTCTGAATCAGGAGAGAAATAAGCACAAATCTGTGCTTAAAATAAAATGCACTGATTCCAAGCAAAAACAGATCAAAACAGTTCTAAACAAATATGTAGATTACTTGTAGTCGTGTGGATTACTTGTGGATTATTGTGATGTTTTTATCAGCTGTTGGTATTCTCATTCTGACGGCACCCTTTCACTGCAGAGGATCCACTGGTGAGCAAGTGATGTACTGTAATTTTAAATTTCTTCAAATCTGTTCTAATGAAGAAACAAACTCATCTACATCTGAGGGTGAGAACATTTTCAGTAAATTTTCATTGTTTTCAAGGAGTAGACTGACAAGCAGTCATAGTGTTTGTTAGCACGGTAGTTTTTTAGCTTTTCAGCAATACTGTAAAAGAAGAAAAAAGATAAATGCATAAAAGCATTTTAAAGCGTTATCTTTCTAACATCAATCTGTACCTCTGTAATTAAAGGGGAGGTGATAGGTATTTTTCACACAGAATGGATTAAATTTATATTAATGGCAGCATCACTTCTTAAATGCCCATAACTTGAATCCGACCAAAGTCCTGGCATCAGTCGCAACTCCAGAACAGATTATCAATCAGGGGTCCGCAATGGGGGAAAAAACCTTTTAAAACACGCTGATGTGCAGAAACTGCGCAATAAAAAATGGCCCCCTCTTCACTGGATCCCAGCCCCAACAACCTGGATCTATTAGTATAAGCAGGACAACAATCGCTGAATTATTGATTTCCTCATTAGACTTTTTGTCAGGACCATTTAGTGACGTTAAAAATGAGCTTTCATTAGCCACTAGCAGGAGAACCTCGCCGCCTTTGATTTATAATGTGCAACATGGTCAATATACGGCAGAACGGATGAGGAAAACACGGCGCACACGCTGCGATCGGCCTCCGTATGTAACCACACACACCTCAAAGCACAGATTACATGGAGACACACACTTCTTCATAGTGACAGAAGCTGAAAACTCTCCTCCCAGAGAGTACTTACAGTTATACAGATTCAGGACATACAGGATGCCTGGATTAACATATGGACCTTTATGTTCGTTATGCATCTAGGTAGGGCTGCTAATTAAAAGAATGCTAATTAAAAGCTGCGTTAAAACCCAGAGCAGAATGTTGAGTGATGGTTTGTTAGCATATGTCATATTTTATCTGAATGCGAAGGGTAACAGCCACAGGTAAATGTCTGTGTTGCGTCATTTGTGAACTCTTGACTGGATCTCTTACTAAAAATGTGTTTTAATGTAACAGAATTTGGTTCCAAAGCAATATGCTGTATTTTTAACCATTGACTATAGCCATTCAACATTACAGTTACAGTATAACTGAGAGCTATCAATTGGAACATTTATTAGAATACTTAAAATAACTTCTCATTTTACCCAGAGCAGAATGTTGAGTGATGGTTTGTTAGCATATGTCATATTTTATCTGAATGCGAAGGGTAACAGCCACAGGTAAATGTCTGTGTTGCGTCATTTGTGAACTCTTGACTGGATCTCTTACTAAAAATGTGTTTTAATGTAACAGAATTTGGTTCCAAAGCAATATGCTGTATTTTTAACCATTGACTACAGCCATTCAACATTACAGTTACAGTATAACTGAGAGCTATCAATTGGAACATTTATTAGAATACTTAAAATAACTTCTCATTTTCTTAATTCTAAATTAAATATAGATGATAGATTAAATATGGTTAGATACAAAAGTTATTGATTTCCTCTTTTTTCTTTTGATCTTTGAATAAATGTTCAAATCGATAGCTCTCAGTTATACTGTAATGTTGAATGGCTATAGTCAATGGTTACATATTAGGGGGAAAACTATTTCATAGAGACATCAGTAGCATTGTTATCAGTGATACTAGCCTTCAGTCATAAAAAAAAGATGTCATTATACAAATATTAAAAATATACTGTCTTTATGTTGTTTGTACATTAATTTGAAGATTGAATGTGAAATTATTGCAATGAGGCGCTGAGGCGAAGTGGTGCTCGCGTCTGAAACGTCTTGGTTTGATGTGGTCGTAAAGACGCTCTGCGACTGAATAAATGCACTTCTTGTCAAGAAAAATTTGACAGAAGCAGCAATTGTGAATGGGGTGGCCAACCCTAGCTCCGCCCCTGCATTAACTGTGTTAAATATTTTTAAAGCCCCGTTCACACCAAGAACGATAACTATAAAGTTAAAGACATTAGCGTCCACACCAAAGCGTCCACATATCGTCTGTATATTCCAAGCGCACACGCGTCTGTCGCTTTAAATTCTCCAGCTCTTTATAGCAGGATGGATTCTGATTGGCTGTCAATGTTTGTATCGTTCATCAGCTGGAAAAAATCGTTTTGAAAGTGATTCCAACGATATCGTTTCTCTGTGCCTTTATCGTTATAGTTGTGGTGTGGACTCTGCTATTCTTTAATATTCAGAACAATTTTTATAACTATATCTTTATCGCTATCTTTATAGTTATCGTGCTTGGTGTGAACGGGCCTTTAAACTGAAAAAAATAATCGCCTGCGTTAATGCGCTAATTTTGCCAGCACTAAAATTAATATATAAATTCTAAAACATGAAAAAAGTAGCCAACTACTAAATAAAAAAAAATAAGAATCAATTTTTGCATCAGAATATCAATATGAGACTTCATAGTTTTGAGATTTAAAACAATTTAAAGAGATAGAAAAAGCATAAAATAAAGTAAAATTAAATTAAATAAAAGAGAAAAAAGCATAAAATAAAATAATGAAGTAATAATTAATAATTAAATAACAATTTATGCATTTAGCAGACGCTTTTATCCAAAGCGACTTACAGTGCATTCAGGCTATACATTTTTTACCAGTATGGTATCAAGTAAAGACTAAATAGAATATAGTAGTCTAATTATAGAAGTTTCAGGGTTTATACTGCAGATCTCAGACAATATATTTTTTTAGACCTCACCTCTGAGTTCCAGTATTGCAGACATTTGAGCAAAAGATCAGTATAGATTGAGCCACGATGGCTCCTTAGTCGATTCCCTCCACTTAACCTAACAAGAGTGCTAAAGCGACAAATCAAGCCGATCCTTTTGCTCATTAGATAATTAGGAGCATCTCATCTCTTCAATCGGATTCCCATCTGTTCCGTTCCCTTTCACCGACGCACACAAGTAGGGCTGATAGACGGGGTCACAGCT